AATGCATGGTATCATTCCACGAAGCTGTTGTGTTCATGTGAAAATCTCAAACTGTGATGTTTTGACACTGTTTAAGTAAGAATAAATGTCTGTACAGTATGCTCATTGATCATGTAGGGAAGAACTGTGCGGATTGATCTCCCAAACTTAGAGCTGCCTGTGAACGGAGTAGCATGAAAATTTGACATAGCTATCCAGAAATGCTGGCAAGTCACTTAACATTTAATGATCACTGTTAGTAAACACCACACATCCTGGAAAGGTACACTACAGTACAGCAAACTGTGATCAGCTACAATTTGTTGAGATATATTGAACAAATGACTAGGGTTGTCAATGATCAATGCAATGGTGGTACCTCTCATTTGTTGCACAAAAGGCAATTTGGTGAAGTGGTCAGAATGGAGTTGTGTCCTTGGACACAGAAATTGTCAACATTGATTTTATACAGTCACAAGAGTCTTACAGCATAGAAACAGACCCTTCGGTCCAACCAGTCCATGCCGATCATGTTCCCAAATTAAACTAGTCCTATTTGCCTGTGCTTGGCGCATATCCCTCCCAACATTTCCTATTTATGTACTCATCCAAACGTCGTTTAAATGTTGTAACTGTACTCGCATTCACCACTTCCTCTGGCAATTCATTTCATACACTAACCACTCACTGTGTGAAAATGTCTTTCCAGGCCATTTTAATAACTCAAACCCTCCATTTCCAGCAACATCCCGATAAATCTTTTCTGAATCCTCTCCAGTTTAATAATATCCTTCCTATAACACAACATCCAAAACTGCACACAGTACTCCAGAAGAGGCCTCACCAATGTCCGGTACAACCTCAACATGACATCCCAAATCCTAGAAAGGACTGAGCCACAACTTTTAGATGTAACACTGCATCATCTGTAAAGGTGACTAAACGATTAAGCCAGACTGAGTAAACACCAGTCAAGTCACAGATAGACTCAATATTGTGACTAGAAATATTTGTAAGTGATGGGTTTTTCGTGTTGTGAATGATGATAATATGTAAATCTGCACATGTTGGTAGACTGTTGATAGAAGGTCTGTCGATTTCAATGATGGGAAGGTTTCAGGTGTCCATCCTAAGGATTTGCACTGGTATTAAGGATAATGCCAATGCATGGGATGTCAGATCTGTTGTAAGCAGTTAGCTTATTTTCTATGGACTGTACCAAATTGCGCCAGTTTCCTGAGTACATCTCAATTATGATGCAAACTAGAATAATAATGTGCACTGGAACCATTGGCAATCCTACTTTTGGAGGGACTTTGAGAAAGATTTCAACTACAAAGTTAGTTTGGAGAGGCCAGGATTGTTCTCTTTGCAGTAAAGAAGTTGAGAGGAAATCTGATAGAGGTTAAAAAAATTGTGCAGATTCAAATGAAGTAGACAAACAAAATCTGTTTCCATTAGATGATAGTACAAGAACTAGAGGGCAGATTGAAGATGTTGGGTAAGAGCCACAGGCAGAAAAGGAGGAAGAAATCCTTTTACAGAGTGGTAATGATATATATCCAAGAGTCATGGATATCCTAAGATTTCAAAAGGAAACTGAATGAACATTTGAGTGAAATAAACTTGCAGGGCTATGTCGATAGAAAAGAGGTATGTGACTTGATTGGACAGTTTGACAGAGCGCTGGTATAAACTTGATGGGCAGAAGGATCTCATTATGTGCCATACTGAAACTGTGGCCAAACTTCTACTCACACCTGGGCAATGAAATGGAGTTCAGGTGCTAGTAGAATGCTGGGAAGTCTTGCTGGGTTGATTCACCAGTGCAGTCCCACGACCTGGGAAGGTACCCAGTGGCAGAAACAACAGCCCCAGTATACTGCTCAGCAAATTGAGACTGTCAGCTAATTTGATGATTAATGGTCTAATTAAGTGTGGCTTTCCCAGGCCACTGGCATTTCCAGTGATAGTGTGAAGCCCAATAGCATTGGGTGAGTTGGTGGGTGGGGTTGGGAGGAGAGAAGTTCACCAGTAGCATGGAAGTGGTCTCTTAACGGCTTCTTTCGGAAAGTCATCTCTAAGCTTATTACAGGCAGCAGATTGCGAGCAGCAATACCTCAATGACCCTAATGCGCCGTTTGTTGATATTGACAATGTTTTGAAGGGGAGATGTTTAATGTAGATGCAGTTGAGTTTTGAGACAATTATTTTTAAAATTATAATTGGTCATAATAGCATACAAAATCTCCCTTGAATAAAACTGAAATCCATGTTTATTTAGCCAGGTCAGGCATAAACAATGGCAAAATGGAAGTTAAGGTGACCTCAATTTGATTAGATCTGCCCCTAAAAATCTCTGAAGAATTTTTAGCTGTGTGCAGAAAGGACTTAATATCCAGGTAAACGTAATCCTGAAGCACAGTCTGGCAAATATTTAGTGAAAACCTAATTTTCAACTCAAAATCCTACACTTGGTTGGCAGAAACCAAGTGCAAAATATACAGAGACCTGGGAAATTGAGGCCTCTATAATGTGTGGGTGCCTACATGTAGTTATAACTGAACACAAAAGCAAAGTAGTCATTGAGTGAAATGTCTAATGAACTGTAAGTTTAATCCTGTTCTTTAATTTGGTAAATCCAGAGTGGTATATTTCAAGTGGGTTTTTCTAATATGTACCTTTCTAAAACCTTCCCATTATAGCTGAGGTACATATTGAATTGCAGATCATTTAAAAGGATTAAAAAGGCTTAATCTTTAGTGTGTATTAGAAGAATTATAAAACTGTATCCATTATAAAACAATTAACTTGTTTTGTACACTTGAATTCTTGCTGTAAAAATGAACAGCATTCAGGAAATATTTGATTTCGATGGTGAACAAAACCTAATTCAGTGTAAAATAAACAGATCAGGAATGCTGTGATTCAAATGTAATTTTATCAAACATTTCACATCTGTGCTTCAGACAGCAGATTTAAATGTAGAATCTAACGATAGACAATTCCACAATTATTCAGTTGTTTTAATGTTGAGCGCACTCATTAACCATCCTATTGAAAAACTTACTTGAACAGAGGAAGCCATTTAAATTGCACTCATTTGCATATCAACATTTTCTAAAGTTTTTTGATTTATATCGTAGTAAAATGTTTCAAAATTTATTATTAATTTAATTGCAAAATAAATGAGTTGAGGTTTCAATATTAAAAATTTTTGCATGCCGTTTATAGCACCCAAGAGCAAAATACAGCAGACATGCAACTTTACAACTGAAGGCCAACCTGACAGAGGCACTATCGTTCATTTATCACAGAACCATTAACATTGTGGCAACATTTTGTAAATTACATGATTTTAGCTTTTAAACCTGCAAATCCAATACTGGTCACACATGCAGAAAATGTTACAGTTAATAAATGACTCTGAAAATGTCGAATTTTATGCATAACTCAATGAAATGCATTTAAAAGATAGACACTAACTTGCAGTACATTTCTAACACATTCTGCAGATGGCATTGTAGTACTGCATTTACAGCAATGAGTATTGATCCTTCAAAATATAAAACTTACAGAGTTCACTTCCAGATTTGTAAAGGAGCCTTGTGCATCAAAACAAAACAGGCCACAGTCATGGAGATGAGGCAGTAAATGTTTTGCATTGAGAAATGTTCTGAGATTCCACACATGTACAAATATAAAAAAAAATTGAATTTGAATATACTACCTGTTAGTAAATTGAGGGAAGTTTTAGAAGCTGTGTTAGCTATTCAAGGTCTTATAAAAATGCCTGGTCAAGGAGGTAGGTTTTAGTGAGCATCTTAAAAGAGGAGAGAAAGTTGAAGAGATGCTTAGAGAGCAAATTCCAGGTTAAATTCTAGGCAACAGAATATATAGCTGCCAATGGTGGTGATGCACAAGTGCATGCGATGGAGGAAATAAAATTATTGGAGTGTTGTTAAACTGCAGTAGGTTGCTGAGATAGAAATAAACAAGACCATGGAGAGATTGCACATAAGGATCAAAATTTTACAATCTAGGTGTTACTCCATCATGAATCAACGTAGGTTGACAAGAACAGATGAGTGAATGGGGCCTGGTATGACTTAGGATACTGGCAGTTAAATTTAGCTGAGTTTAAGTTTATGGAGTGTGTTTGATGGGAAACCACTGGGAATAGTCTGGCGTTAAGAAAAGCAAGGGTGAAGGTTTCAGCAGCAGATGGACTGAGGAAGAGTGCAGCTGGTTAATAACACAGAGGTGAAAGAGGTAAACTCCAAGTTGGAGAGGTTTTGAGATAGGAATCTCAACACAAGTTGAAATAGAACAAAGTTTACATATAATGGCCAAGGAGAGGCAGACACTGTGGCAGGAGCTGAAGACAATGTTTTCTATCTTTTCAATGTTTAATTGTTAAAAAATTTCTCATTGGACAAGCAGATTGACAAAGTAGAGACAGTTGAAGAACAAAGAGAGATCGTAGTAAAAAGCAACTGCATCCCATGATGTGACTTCAGATGATGTGCTGAGAGTAACAAAGAAATATTTTAACATTTCTATTTCATGTGTTCAATGAACATTTTAACAGACAACCGTTTAAACTATAAATTCCAGTATATTTAATGAGAAAGTAAATAATGCACATACTTTATCTGAGAAGCACTTGCTGTGATCTTCATCCATTATAATTTCAAAGCATGTTATATAAAAATAAACAAATTTTCAACAATCTCTGGGCTCCAAAAATTATATGTGCAAAAAGCTTAAGAGAAAATACTTGAAGTATTTGCACCACGTGGTGGCTTAAAAGGTACCCAGAAATCAACAGACATTAGCTATTATTGAAAAAACAATCTGGAGCTGGGGACATGGAAGCAAGCTTCTCTCTTAGTTTTACATACTTCTTACAGCCAGTCAAAATTACACTGTTACAATATCATTTTTAATAAAACATATTTTTGACAATTTGCCAACAACCAGCAATTATTGGTACAAAATAAGCACTGAAGATTACTCACGCTTCCAAAGATATATTAGAGTAGGTCATTACGTAGCCAGGGACCACATGCTGTGCAGCAAACGCACTGATGTTCAAATCTCCATCAAATAGAACTTTCCGTACAGATGTCTGGGGAACAATGTCCAGTACTGCCCAACACCTACCAGATAAAGGCAATGAAGATTCATGTGCTAATGTGAAGTGATGCCATTTTATCACAATCACCTCAAACACCAAAAGCCTAAATTTTAATGAGGGTTGTTGGAGGGGATGATGACAGATTTCTTGTCCCCACTCAATGAACCGACTTTACCATAAGCTGCCCAACAGAAATGAAACACATGGGAAAGCGAACCCAAAACAGAATGGCTCCTCCTCACCCCAATTCATCCCCCTCTGATCCCATTTTGATTTAGCCTCTTCCCTCTCCCCCTACCAATCCCTCACTTTTGAGGAAGGTTTGCATTATCCATAATGGGCTTTGCTGGTAAATATCCAATTGATAATCGGCGGTTTACTGGTGGGAGACGGGAAACTCGTCCTCAAATGCTGCCAGCCAATCTGACTGGCTGACAGCTTCTGCCATGCCCATTGGACAGTAAGGTGTCCCGTGGAGAAGAGTCATATAGAATTAGAGAGTGGTAATGTCAGACCTTTACAGATGGGGAGGAATTGGTCATCTGAGGTAGGGGTCAAGGAGGTGGGGTCTGGGTTTGAGACACCAAGGAAGCACTAAATTGAAGGCTATTCATCTTAGGGGTCAGTGTCAAGTCATCCCCAAAAGAACATGCACATCCATTCCTTCCCACCTTTCCACCAAATTTCGTAAAAAAAAAGCCATCCCACTCTTGCCAACTTTCCATTTGTTGAACAGATCATTTCATCTCTTAACCACTGCCAGTAAAGGAGGTTTTATTTTTATATCCAGAAGCACTGTCACACACAATTGAATGGCTTTTCCACCAAATCACTTGTGGCAATTTTCACCTATTCATCACCATCATTAAATAACCTCGTGTTTTCCAATTGAAAGTTTTTTATATACAAAAGTGCTCTTACATACAAGCTATTGGCTTTCCCCCTAAAAAAATCAACCACCACTAGTAAAACTCCTGTTATCAATTGAATATTTACCAGCAAAGCCCATTATGGATAATGCAAGCCTCCCTCAAAAGTGAGGGATTGGTAGGGAGAGAGGGAAGAGTCTGAATCAAAATGGATCGGGGCAAGGGGGAGCCATACGTTTTTTGGTTTAAAAACAAACTTATTTTCCTAAACCAACCTGCTCAGAGATGTTGGTATACACCTCTGGAGCAGGTGGGACTTGAACCCAGGCCTCAGTCTAGGGGTAGGGACACCACCACTGCGCCACAAGACAGCCCATGCATTTGTTATTTTCTAAAACGGGCCCAATAATGCCTTTTATTTTTCTTCCCTCCCCAAATCGTAGGTGACAATACATCGCTACCCGATGAGCTCAATGCACTCTATGCTCACTTTGAACAGAGGTCAGTGAAATGATATCACCCACCCAGAAAGCCCTGGATGCATCTGCAAGTTCGGTCACCTCCACACATTAGATTGTTCTTAAGGGTGAACTCATGGAAAGTGACTGGCTCAGATTGTGCCTTAATGACTACCATCTGGTGGCTCTGACATCAATAATTATGAGGAGCTGAGGGGTTGGTCACGGCCCACATCAAATCCAGCCTCCCAGCTTGCCTTGATCCCTTGCAGTTTGCCTTCTGGTGCAACAGGTCCATGGCAGATGCCATCTCCCTGGCCCTACACTCATCTCGAGAACATCTGGTCAACAAGGATACCTACGTCAGCCTCCTACTTACTGACTACATTGCTGCCATCTATAAACTCTGAGACCTAGTCTCTGCTCCCCACTCTCTAAGTGGATTCTTCACTTCATGACCGATAGACTGCAGTCGGTAACGATAGGCCACAATACCTCCTCCATGATAATCCCCAACACCGGTGCCTCACAAGTCTGCGTACTCAGCCCCCTATTATACTTAATAAATACACACATGACTGTGTGGCCAAATTCCACACCAACTCCATTTACAAGTTTGCAGACACCACTGCCATTGTAGGTTGGTTCTCAAACAGTGATGAGACGGAGTACAGGAAGGAGAGTGCTTAAGAGCATGGTGTAGAGACAACAATCTCTCTACCAACATCAACAAAATGAAGGAGCTAGTCAGTGGCTTCAGGAAACAGAGTGGAGGGCACGCTCCTCTCTGCATCAATGGTACTGAGGTGGAAATGGTTGACAGCGCCAAGTTCTTGGGAGTGATGATCACCAACAATCTGTCCTGGAACAAAAACAAAGTTGCTGGAAAAGCTCAGCAGGTCTGGCAGCATCTGTGAAGGAGAAAACAGAGTTAACGTTTCGGGTCCGGTGACCGTTCCTCAGAACTGATGGTGGCTGGGAAAATGTCAGTTTATATGCAGAAAATAGGGAGGTGGGTGGGGTAGGGAGTAAACGATAGGATAGAGCCCGAAGAGAGAGAAAGACAGTTGGACAGACAAAGGAGTTGGTAACGATCAGGCTGGGAGGGTGAATAGTTGTTAATGGGGACTGTTAGTGACTAACGACAGGGGGTGTGTAATGGCAGGCTATGTGGTAACAAGGCCTGGTGTGTGGGGTAGGGGTCTGGGACATGGGAGAGTTTAGGTCCTAAAATTATTGAACTCGATATTGAGTCCGGAGGGCTGTAGGGTCCCCAAGTGGAAAATGAGGTGTTGTTCCTCCAGTTTGCGTTGGGCTTCGCTGGAACACTGCAGCAAGCTGGAAACAGAGATGTTGGCCAGGGAGCAGGGTGGTGCGTTAAAGTGGCAGGTGACAGGTAGCTCAGGGTCTTCTTTGCGAGCAGAACGTAGACGTTCTGTGAAGTGGTCGCCAAGTCTACGCTTTGTTTTCCCAATGTAGAGGAGACCACGTTGTGAGCAGCGAATGGAGTAGTCTAGATTCTGGGAAGTGCAGGTGAAGTGTTGCTTCACCTGGAAAGTATGTTTGGGCCCTTGGATACTGGGGAGGAAGGAGGTAAATGGGCAGGTGTTGCACCTTCGCCAGTTACAGGGGAAGGTGCCATAGGGCTGTGGGGAGGTGTTGGGGGTGAAGGAAGTGTGGACCAGGGTGTCCCGCAGGGAACGGTCCCTGCGGAAGGCAGACAAGAAAACAATTCTGTTTGTCTAGCGCTATTAACAAAGAATCACTTCCAAAAGGCATTTCATGTGAACACTATGAAACAAAATCTAAACACCATGTCATGTACAAGCATAGGGAGGGGAGAGAGAAGAAAGTGTTTAGGGAGTAAACTCGAGCTTCGGGACTATACAGCTAAAGACACGAATGACACTTGGTCGAGCAAAGAAAATCCAGGATATATACAAGAGGACAGAATTATAATACGAATAATGGTCGACCCCTGACTTACAGAGAGTGATAACTGGATCACTGACAACTAATCAACAAAAAACAGAAAAATTTCAGAACAGACAGCCTCCCAATCAACTGCAGAACAGTATTCAATCGGGAATTGACTGAGTCCTCTGCCTTATTAAGTGCTACTTGTATTTTGTTTTGATAACTTAATCAAACTTGTGAATCTTATCTAAACACACACATACACAAAATGGTTTTGTACTTAGTTGGGCAATGAGTCTTACAATTAAAATTAAAGTGGATTTCAGAATCCTATGCCATACAGCTAGTTTTTTTTTATTCCATATATTTTATTGAATGTAAATTTCACTAACTGCCATTGTAGGATTGGAACACATTAATCTGGGATTCATGGATGAGTAGACGAATGATATTACCACTACACCTTCATCTCCCTCTCAGTATTAACTCCACCATCTCTAATTCTACTAGAAAGAGTCTGGCTAGGTGTCACTGTCTTCAGTATTTTGCTACGAAGAAAATATGTTCTTTATCTCAAAGAAAATATTGAGCACAGATTTTGGAGTCAGGACTCCATGACAGCACCAGATGGGCTTCCTTTGAACTACAGAAACCCTTGAGCTAAACTTCATGCCTGGGCAACTCATTAAAATGCAAACAGACGTTTGGGGCATACCTTTGAGGAGTGATTAAAATGCAATCAACCATTCTTGTTCTTAAATGGCTTGCATTCTCCAAATGATAAAAAAAAGTCTCGTAATTATTGCTAACAGACTTTTTGGCTTTGGAGTTGAAATTCAGCAAATTTGTGTGATTTAAAAAAAGCCCCTTTCTGTGATGATGATAAGTGAATGCTGTAACTTGAACTCCATTGTTTAACAATCAGTTAGCCATCAAAAACCATTTGAGGTTGGGACCCTCTTGGTCCCCCTTGGTCCAGGAACTCCCTACCTATGTCCGTGACACCATCCACGCCCTCCACCTCCTCCAGAACTTCCAATTCCCCGGTCCCAAAACACCTCATCTTTACCATGGACGTCCAGTCCCTCTACACCTGCATTCCCCATGCAGATGGCCTGAAGGCCCTCCGCTTCTTCCTGTCCCGCAGGCCCGACCAGTCCCCCTCCACTGACACCCTCATCCGCTTAGCCGAACTCGTCCTCACCCTCAACAACTTCTCTTTCAATTCCTCCCACTTCCTACAGACAAAGGGGGTGGCCATGGGTACCCGCATGGGCCCAAGCTACGCCTGCCTCTTTGTAGGTTA